GTCGTGTTTACCTACACAGACACTGTACGATTCGTGTTTACCTACACATACACTGTACGATTCGTGTTTACCTACAAAGATACTGTACGATTCGTGTTTACCTACACAGACACTGTACTATTCGTGTTTACCTACACAGACACTGTACGATTCGTGTTTACCTACACAGACACTGTACGATTCGTGTTTACCTACACATACACTGTACGATTCGTGTTTACCTACAAAGATACTGTACGATTCGTGTTTACCTACACAGACACAGTACTATTCGTGTTTACCTACAAAGATACTGTACGATTCGTGTTTACCTACACAGACACTGTACGATTCGTGTTTACCTACACAGACACTGTACGATTCGTGTTTACCTACACAGACACTGTACGATTCGTGTTTACCTACACAGACACTGTACGATTCGTGTTTACCTACACAGACACTGTACGATTCGTGTTTACCTACACAGACACTGTACTGTTCGTGTTTACCTACACATACACTATACGATTCGTGTTTATCTACACAGACACTGTACGATTCGTGTTCACCTACACAGACACTGTACGATTAGTGCTTACTTCCCAGACACCATACGATTCGTACTGATTGGTAAGGGGTTTGCCATCTGAAAAAATGATTGGAGAGGGGGTTCCCAATTGAAAACTGATTGGTAAGGAGTTTCCTATCTGAAAACTGTTTGGTATAGGGGGTTCCCATTCGAAAACTGATTGTTAAAGAGGGTTTCTAATTGAAAAGCTGATCAACAAAGGGTCACTCATTTTAAAACTGGGCATTACTCATTAAAAAACTTATCGGCAGGGGATTACATATTTGAAAACCAATAGCTAAGGGTGACAATTTTGAAAACTCAACAATTATTCTTTGCTCATTTTAAAAATGTTTGATATTGAATTACTCGTCTTTAAAACTGACCAGTAATGGGTTACCAATTTGAAAACTGGCCTACTTTGAATTACCCATATGAAAACTGATCGGCTTTGGATTACCAACTGGTCAATGAGAGACTGTCAATTTGAAAGATCATGTTCGATAGAGGGTTACAATTTGAAAACTGACCGGTAATAGGTCACCAATTTGAAAACTGGCCTACTTTGAATTACCCATTTGAAAACTGATCGGCTTTGGATTACCAACTGGTCGATAAGAGACTACCAATTCGAAAAATCATGTTCGATAAGGGGTTACCAATTTGAAAACTGACCGGCTTTGAGTTACCAATTTGAAAACTGGCTGGTAATGGGTTGCCCATTTGAAAACTGACCTGTAATGGGTTACCCATTTGAAAACTGATCGATGAGACATTGCAAATTTGAAAAATGATGATTGATAAGAGGTTATCAATTTGAAAACAGATTGTTTTTTATGTGAAAAACAAACGACTAGCTTGTGTGGAGACGGAGATTACGAGGATCCTTTGCTCCATTCTTCCCTCAAGACAATGATACCAGGTCACCAGGAGAGAAAGATCGTCTAAGGTATAAAGACACAGTTGTATATATGATTTAAACAATTAAAATTTCTTAGACATAGAAAATGATTAGTGATTGATAAAATGATTGATTAGTTATTAAAAAGGAAAATTTTCAACAAAATAGCATACAAACAATTATTTTGTATCATATATGATTTATAAAGCCAAACGATTTACAGATTTGCGATAAATAATAAATAATAATGATAAATAATCCTTCCCTTACATTCTCGCCTCGTGCTGCTCTCTCAGGGGTATAGTAAGTTGCCATGCCAACCCGATCGACTGAAATCCGTTCAAAACATCATCTTCTCTACGTCTGTGTGTACTAATTTGTACTGACAATTGAAAAGTATAAATCCATTGTATTTTTTTGAATCTACATTTTTTTAAATCGTAAAATTTTCTTGCCAACCCATTGTATGAATCAGTAAACAGCTTTCAATAAATCGTATAGATGGCGAGTTTCCAAATTATCCAGTCAACGTGTGTTGGGCGTAAAATAGCTGTCGGTGAGGGCGGAATACAATTACAGCAATGTCAATTAAATCGAGTAGGAAAAATTTTAATGTAGACAAATCTTTATACAACTGACACTCCTTGACCAATGACAGCTTCAGTTTTGTCGTTGTACTCTTGGACTAGAAATATTTCTATTACTCGACTGAGTTTCTGTATAAATATACTTATCACAGTCGCGTGTGGCGGTAATTGCGCCGATCACGTGACGCGTCTGCTAACAACCGAATCCTTATTCGCAACGTGTAGACTGCCTAGGATGGAGATTTTTACTTTGAACTTATTCACTCAGTTTAGCATTTTTACTGGTCATGCTATTGTTAAAATAATCAATGTTATTAGCGAGTTAAATGTGTTGATATTTAATTTGTATTTTAATTACACGTATAAGTCTTTAAAATGCTCACACTTTTCAGCAGAGATTGTATTTATGTAAATAAATGTGAATATATGTAGTGTAATGTAATGTAATTTCAAATATTGAGTGCTATGTCGTTTCGCACGTGGTGACAATATCGAATACACATTTGCAGAAATTGAAGGATTTCGCTCAAATAATAAAAAGGATTACGTCACAAAAGATGGAGAAGATGAAATCAACTGTTATGCCAGAAGACAAATGAACCATCTGGCGCAATAATCTTAATATTCTTACCTTCACTTGATGACGTAATCGGCTATGAGTCATACACAAGAACAACGGGAGATTACCATGGCAACCGCTGGTTTGACAGAAGTAGCCGAAAAGGGTAGTATGCATAAGGCAGTTGGAAATACTAATTACGTCTCACTGGACTGCACAAAATAAATTCATCCGGGACAATATTTCGGAAAAAAATAATATTCAACGAATTCATCACGTGATAAGTCTTAGATTCTGGAGAATAGTGGTGCTACTGTTTGTTACATTGTTGTCATATGATATTTCAGACGATTTGGACACCACCTCACCTCCTTTGTTGTCATAGTTACACAGTACGTGTTCAATACTGGTTGCAAAAAAAAAGCAAAAAAAAACATCACCGGGTAGGGACATTTCAAAACTCAAAATTGAAAAAATATGCAAAATAGTATTATATAATCAACAGTACGTTACTCGGTTTCTTTTTTAGAATATCGGTGTTAATGATTTATTTTATCAATTCGACCGATGTAAATTAAAACGCAGTTCACATTCAAGACATTTCGAGCTGAACACATCGCAGTAAATACAGTGCATAGCAATTACCGTGAAGGCATCCAAACAATACGCCAGCGGGTATAAGGGACCACTTTAAAATGATAAAATGAAAGTTTATATATGCAATTTCCGCTATGAGTATCGATTTGATGACTTGATTTATTATTAATTTCGACTTGTTACTCATACACGAAATGAAATTATTCAAACACAAGCAAGGAGGTGATCAAAAAATATAAACTTGAACTTAAACGGTAGTTCACTTGAATGTTCTATCAAAATAATGTTATCCGTATTAGTAAAACAAACACCGAGAAAAATAAAAGTTTTTAGGATCTTGGTTACATTTATTTGGAAACATTGAGTTAGAATCTTCTTCGAATTCCTGATTCCAATAGAGCAGTGTCGTTTCTCAGCTGCCCAGGTATAATCGAAAAACAATGATTTCTTCCAAAAAAGGATATACCAAGAGGAATATATATATTTAGCTGCGCTTTGACGCTAGTGATACATAGAAAACCAGACCATTGGTATAATAATAAGCAAGTCCCAGCCATTGATACAAAGGATATCGGGACAAATCATCACTTTTTATATTTATGATAATACGTAAGCGATACCTTCAATTGAGTTTCAAGCTGCTTTCAAGATTCAAACATTCATTTTGTTGATTTCCATATTTTGACAACAACGTCACGAATCGTGACAATTCCATGCCTTTCTCAGTTGTCGCGATTGCGCATGCGTGAGATCATTTTTTATAGAACAAAACTGTTGGTGTATTGATATCACCCATATACATTTAGTGCATTTAAATGAACGAAAATACAAGAAGAGGAAAGTTCAAGTTAACTCCAGAAAAGGCCCAGAAAGGCGATGAATTGTACTAGGAGAATATATCAGTAATATAATATTGGTCATCAAACTAGAGCAGAAAAGCCTCTATATCCGCACGTAGTTTTGGAAGAGGGGTACCGACGAGCACAACACGAGGAAATGGATGCATTTCAAAATGTATGTACAAATATATGTACAAATGTATGTACAAATATATATATATATATATATATATATATATATATATATATATATATATATATATATACATATATGTGCGGACATATATAGGATACCTTGTTGTAGTTTTATGGCGAGTATTTTATTACTGATCTATTCTAATTCTAGTATGCACATTCTTTCTTACTTTCACCAGACTTGCATACAGTCTATTTTTTCAATAAATTATTATCATGGGAGAGTAACCAAGCTTTCGTCATTTACACTCCCATGATATTTTATTTTATTGAAAAAAACACCAAAAAAGACTGTATGCAAGATATGCCTTCGTCCGTATTGCTACCACTACGTTAGTGCCCTCTAGGTCGCATCAACCTACCTGTATATTTTTAACAGAAGCAATAAATATACGCAACGTTGTTTACTCGTGTTTGTCGCTACCACTCGTATAAATAGGCAAGGCCCGGTGAATATTTCAGTATTCAACTCACAGCCGACTCCGCAACGTCACCCCGTGAGGCACTACAATCCGTATTCGACGGTATATTTATACTTTGAACGTTACGTCAAGTACAAAGGAATCCAACATGGTAGGTTGTCATTAATGTTAGTGAAGAGAGTTAATTAAGATTCGATTTAAAATAATATTATTGTGGTCATTTTTATGGCGGAAATATCTCGACGAATACTAAATGAAATATTGAAATCGATAACAAAGGAAATAATTTTAATATTGAAGTGATATAATGTTGTAATAGTCTAGTAGAAACCAATGCTGTCAACTATATTTGTGTGTACGATTATTAATGTACGACAATACAGTATTAAAACAACGTGTTGCAGAGATGGGACATTGTACTGTTTATATTACTGCGATCATGGTTTGTTCGTAAATGGCTGTAATTATTCCTACACCTAGTATTTGGAACATAAATAGCTTACAGTGTTTATTTATTTATTTGTTTATACGTTCACTCTTATTATTCGAATTAATGAATTGTTTTTATTTTTCACGTAACTGTAAAGCATATACTAGTATACTAACATATTCTACAACGTTTCTATCATAGCTATGATTATATTTCTCTGGTAATATTATAATAATATTTAACATTTGTGTCTATTTCCCACCATATCTACGCATCTGATATGCAACGTCTATTATTAGAAACTAATTTGCATAATTCGAACTATTTTGCATAATTGTACACAGAAAAAAAATATACGGGTATGTTCACTATAAATATTGTACAAGTCAGTAGTCCGGGTCGCTCGGCTGTAGTTCTTCGCATAACCAGTCGGATACTAGTCGTTGGAATAAAATGTTGAATATCTAAAATGATAATAAATTATTCATGCGCCTCGAATTTCATATTTTTGGCACAGGTATTGTGTAAACCACTCTTTTTCTCCGTATCCGCACTGGGTGGAAACCCTCGCCTGTTTAATTGGGTAAATACAGTCACGTGATATTTGACGTAATGACTGTTGTTTTGTCCACAGCGTGAATGTATATCAATCCATGTAGGACAGGCCGGTGTGCAAATGGGAAATGCATGTTGGGAGCTGTACTGTCTAGAACATGGTATTTCTCCTGATGGTCAGATGCCAAGTGATAAGACCATTGGAGGCGGTGATGATTCCTTCAATACTTTCTTCAGTGAGACTGGAGCTGGCAAACATGTACCACGTGCTGTGTTTGTTGATCTGGAACCAACGGTCATAGGTATGATTTGTAAATTGTTGTGATTTTTTTAGAAAACCAGAAACCAAGCACATATTTACGTATTGACTATATGAAGTGCCCTCCCACAACCCACTCATTCTTCCTAAGCTCTTACCGTAATTTCACCAGGTCACACTCTCCACAGTCCAATTGAATTTATGATAATGAATAATCATTCTTGTATCTGCAGATGAAGTACGGATGGGGACCTACCGTGAATTATTCCACCCAGAACAACTGATCACTGGTAAAGAAGATGCCGCCAACAACTACGCACGTGGCCACTACACCATTGGGAAAGAAATCATTGACCTGGTATTGGACAGAGTTCGTAAATTATCTGACCAGTGTACCGGTCTGCAAGGATTTCTCATCTTCCACAGTTTTGGTGGTGGCACTGGTTCTGGTTTTACTTCGTTGTTGATGGAGCGTCTGTCTGTCGACTATGGTAAGAAGTCCAAGCTGGAGTTTGCCATCTACCCGGCCCCACAGATCGCCACCGCTGTCGTCGAACCATACAATTCCATTCTGACAACCCACACTACCTTAGAGCACTCCGACTGTGCATTTATGGTCGACAACGAGGCCATCTACGACATTTGCTGTAGAAAACTAGACATCGAACGTCCAACCTATACCAATCTAAATCGATTGATTGGTCAAATCGTCTCCTCCATCACCGCGTCTCTGCGATTTGATGGTGCCCTCAACGTCGACTTGACTGAGTTTCAGACCAATCTGGTACCATATCCACGTATCCATTTCCCGTTGGCTACCTATGCCCCAGTCATTTCTGCGGAGAAAGCCTACCACGAGCAGATGACTGTCTCTGACATCACCAACGCCTGCTTCGAACCAGCCAATCAGATGGTGAAATGCGATCCACGTCATGGTAAATACATGGCCTGCTGTCTGCTCTTCAGGGGGGACGTTGTTCCAAAAGAAGTCAACGTGGCTATAGCTTCTATAAAAACCAAACGGAGCATCCAGTTCGTCGACTGGTGTCCCACTGGTTTCAAAGTCGGCATAAATTACCAAGCGCCTACTGTTGTACCAGGTGGCGACTTGGCTAAAGTACAACGTGCCGTCTGCATGCTGAGCAACACCACATCTATCGCAGAAGCCTGGGCTCGTCTCGACCACAAATTCGATTTGATGTACGCCAAGCGTGCCTTCGTTCACTGGTATGTCGGTGAAGGTATGGAGGAAGGTGAATTCGCTGAAGCTCGTGAAGATCTGGCAGCTTTGGAAAAAGATTATGAAGAAGTTGGGCATGATTCCATTGATGATGACGCCGAAGACGAGGGAGAGGAGTATTGAGGCGATGACCGTGATAGCGTTTGAGGAATTTTAAAGCTCTTATATTTCATCAAAAGTGCAGTAGCACCCATAAAATATTAAATTAACAATAAAAAATGATCATTATAATCGATTACATTGAACTAACAAATATATATGTGTATATGTATGTGTACGTGTGTTCAAGTTGCTATAGAAAAGACATGTATTACCCTTTGACCGCCATATTTGTTCCCGTCAAAATTGAGTAAAACAAGACGCAATTTTCAAATAAATTGAGTGCTAATATTAACCATTTTTTGGTGAAATGCGACAAACGTTTGTGAGAGGTAAAATTAAGAACAGTCTGTGTTTGGCGAGGTTGTGAGGTGATAGTAGACCACAGCAGTTCATTATGTGGGAGATGTGTTTACTGTAACTTTGAACTAAATACAAATAAGCAATTACAAGACACAAATTGTATGCTATACCAGATGTAAATGAGCGAATTTGTGACATGTTTTCGGTTCATGAATCCATCTAGTGATCAACATTTAGTTGTACCCCTACTAGTCCCCCACCCCACTCGCATGTCAAACATCTACGCCGCGGCGCATATTTATGAAATTCTTGGAGTGATATACTTATTACGTATAAAACGATGGACAATCAAAAGCAAAAGCAGGTCGGATTTCAACTCTATGTTCCTTAGATTTATTATAAAGATCATGAATGAATGTAATGAATATAGGAAATCATCAAAAAACTCCGAAATCGTCTATATTTTGCCGTGTTGGCACACTTATGTGGACCCATGACGTCACAGCACCGACATTTCCCCGATATCGCATCGATTTCACGTACCGGTACTTGTGGTCTTGGTATTCATGAGTCAAAAAGTGGAAATAACATGATCATTCGTAACCTACAAAGAATTAATTGTGTTTTATTTATTAATGGAAAGAATATTTGAAAACATGTCCCTAGGAGGGGGGGGCTAATCCAACAAGCGTTATTGACGCAGTATAGACCGACAGTCACTCTGCCGTTGATACAAGGCCAGCACGAGCGTGCCTGACATAAAAAAAATCGAACACGAATCATCACTAAATCGCTTTCTGTTGTGATAACGTTGCCTTAGTATGTTTTATTAACCGGAACGCATGTATATTTTATATCACACAGCAACAGTGAACAACGCCATACTTTCATTCTTTTTGTTCTGGTGCGTACTATAGACCATCAAATACCTTCCCCTGTTATTTTTATTGAGCTCTGTAGTACTTTTAGATCTCGATTTTTACAGTTTTCGCGATTGCATCACCAATGCTGGTCAAAAACGACCAAGGTCACTGAATGACGATCTTCCAGGGATCATTTAACTAATTCGAGGATGTATTATCATAACTTGTACATTATTAATTAAGGTGAGTTGCACGGTTAATGACTCGTTCGTTTTTTTGAATTCATGAATTATCGCAATAATCCCGTACAAATCATAATTTCACAGCTGAATTACATTCACATTGTTGGCTGAAACATACATCGACATCTTCCTGTCAGTAACATAGTACGATGATGTCACGATGACATGTGCGTGACACATGCGTTTTGATTAGATTCGTAATAGTATCAATAATGGCATCTCCGCATTGCGCATGCTTGTCTGCGCATTACGTCAGTTTTATTGACGACGTAGGAACACTTCACCACCATACTCAAATTTACACCCGATTCCCACCGTACGTGTGATATAGTGATATTTAAAATAATAAGCTTTGAAACGATGTTGATCAACATTAAAAAATATTCGATGATTATAAAACAATATTATATTTCGAAGCTGGGCTTAAAATTGCTTGATTTCATGGAGAATAAGAAAAAATTTTCAACTTTTAGATTAACATTTTGGCGGGAAGATTCCAGCTGCGTTAATACGAACGACAGCAGTAAATGGGCTTTTCCGGTTTCCGGTTTCTCTTCACAAACAGCGGCGACTCGGTTATTAATACAGCAACTGCCGTGAATAATACGAATACCTACGGATAGGCTACTGACTATTTAAGAATTCTAAATTAATCTCAAAATGTCATGACTATCATGCTGTTCACAAATTAAAACTACGACAGACATGATGCCAGTAAGTGGCTTTGTCCTAGAGAGCAGAGAGAGAGAGTGACATCATTGCTATATTTCTACACCAACATTATGGAGTTAACAGTGGTGTCGATACTTTATAAATTTCATACATCCCGTCATATGTTCGCGATCATATTCTGAAAAAAGAGCTACTTGTATTTATCACTGCAGGAGACCACACCTTTTTTTTAATGGTGAATCACAGCGGAATGAAGAAGTCTGACGCACGCCCTCTAGGTCGCTGACACGCGCAGTGGGGAAATCAGTCATAGAAAAACAACTCAACCAATAGGGATGCGGGAAGCGATCTTCCGCTGAATTACTATTCTCATCTCTTTCCCCATTACATTATCTCTGTGTCAGAGCCTGCACGTTGTCAGTGTTCCACTCACCGTCGACCCTACTGCGTCTTTGTGTGAGCCAGCTTCCATCATCAACGCCTCCTTTCGAACTTGCTGTAATATATTAATTCTACAATCCAGCTTAACCGATTTGCAACAGTTCACACGAAAATGGTTAGTGTTTTGTTTTATTTATTTCATGCTTGCGCTTTTTTATCACCTGACTGCCAATTTTCATCACATTTTACAAAAAGAAAATCGTGTAAAAAATCTAATCGGCTGGATTTGTTAGTCTGCCAACGACTGTAGCTGTTTTTTCATGCGCACAGCTTCGCTGGCTATGCCAGGATATTCTGCCTGCAACAGCTGTAGTTTTTTCAATCATATTATAAAATAATATTGTCAGGTCAAAATTAACCACTCAAATCAGTGAATATCACAAATCTCGTGTGAAATAATGAATAACTGTAAATGTCACACCCGATACTTGAAATCGTTTTTGTCAGAAAATGTGGGAAATTAATGACCGAAAAATTAATTTATCGCGGATGCAGATTGTGCATTTTTTATATGAACAGGTGAAACGCCTTCCTCTTTTTAATGTGTCAGTTTCCATCCCTATTCAAAATAATTTACAGCTGTATGTGAACCGAGCACTTGGTATCCGCCAAAGGCGACACGTGACAAAGACAGCACGCAGACGATTTAGTCATTTTAATACGTACTTGAGGATGATTGACGACGTCTTGTCATGACTCATTCATACACACAGCGTGGTCGGTTGGGGTGTATGTCTGTCTGTCCGACTGTCTGGAAATGAACATTAACGATGTACATGTAATTATGATACATTTACTCAGCAGCCCAGTCTGGCGATCTGACTCATCCATCAGCGCCCCCACTCGTTAAGTTAAATGTAGTACAATATTTCACAGAAATAAACAACTAAGCCCTGCGTCACGTCAATGTAAAAATACACAGGGCTGGTTGGCTGGGTAAGGGTTAAAGTGTTTTCAAAAATAAAAACAGTGCAAAACAGCGCCTAATCGTCTAGCTCCATGAGCTTGACGCCTACTCCCAGTCACCCTATGATAGCGCCGCCAGTGTCCAAATTACCATATTCACCTTATCAGTATCCGGAAAAAATATTATTATTTAATTTAAAAAAAATACCCAATAAAAGTCATGGGTGTTAAGACCGCCTGTTACTGAACACTCTGACATTTGTCGACTTCGGAACTAACCACGTGACTCAATATGTTCATATCTCACGCTCGAATTAATTTCACTTCGATGACACAGACATGTGGACATTTAGTTGCATGATCAGAATAAGTTAATTAACCTAAGTGTAATTCCCAGCACGATATTCCATTCGTCAGCAGACAGACCGCTGAGCCGGTCACCAAGTCATCTTCATTCAACGATCATCATGATTACTTCAGCCTATATTAAATAACTGCTACAGCAAATATATTTGTCATGTTATACGATTTCGATTCTTTTTATAATTTATATACATATTAGAGGTCAAGTCCGTAGAATGGGTTACTTCCTTATTAAAATTCATTCTAACTATATACATTGGTACATAATGTGATGCGTGACTCGTGCCATCGACCTTGGGATTACGGGCGGAGTTTATAATGGTGGAGTATACGTACATACTAAGCTATACAGAAATTAAAAACTAGGGATTAAAAATAAACTAAAATAAAACAAACAATTTCATCTAAATACTGACATGCCTTATACTCTTAGCAAAGTTTTTAAATAAAGAAAAACAGAAATCAAGTATATAGTTTAGTTTAGTTAGCTGCTGCATTATTTTATTTTATTTTATTTTATTTTATTTTATTTTATTTTATTTTATTTTATTTTATTTTATTTTATTTTATTTTA